ATTTTTATAGGAGAAGTTTAAAGTAGAATAAGTAGAATTTATTTCAATGTATCTGTCTTACTCTAGTTATAATTTTGCATTTGGCCAAACATCACTTTACATTGTTTTGCTCTGTTCAAAGCCTTTCAGAACTCATCTAAATAGTTTTGTGCATGTATTAAGGCATGCGTGTGTTTATTACTTTATATCATAATAACCATGTATAACTTATTCTGCATTTCCATTGTAACCTAGAGAGGGAATATCCTTTAATGAACACTTTCACATATGTTTTCTCATTTAATATAATTTAATTATTTTTACAGATGAATCATGGGGAAGATAAAGTTACTTGCCCAAGGTCACCCAACTAGTTAAGATTGCAGCCATGCTTCACAAACAGCTCTGTCCAACTGCAGAGGCTCTGCTTTTTCCACTACATCACAATGCCTACAGGAAGCTACTTGCAATTCTTGGCAGGCTTTGTCTTTTCTTTTCTTTTCTTTTTTTTTTTAAACCTGAGCTGTTTTCAAGTAAATCATAGAAGAACTGAGTAGCATAGTATTCAATTCTTTTCATTTATTTTGGAAGTACATATTTTCAAAAGGAGATATGGTAGATGGTTTTGTTTAAACAACCATGGTTCTATGACTTGAATATTTCCAAATAAGGGTGACTTCCAAAAATTATTTGCTCTCTTGGCAGTCTCCATACATTCTTTGTGAATGCAACTACATTTCCCATCTTCCTTGTTTAGCAAAAAAATCATATGTTAATAACATTTTTGAAAGGTGTGGCTTGGTGATATTCTTTTCAGATTTGAAATAACTAGACTTCCTGGCATCATAACCTCAAATTGTGGTGGAGCCATCTGATAATAAGTTGAACATTCTGAAACTGACTTTTGTTTGGGTATAGCTTTGTGTCACTCTGAATGTTGATATGAGTTAGGGGTAAAAGTTAATGCCAAAATCTTAAGATACAGATATGCAAGCCTTTTTATAAGTATGAGATAAATTCCCTTCTGTCAGAATGTGTCTTTTTTTTTTCTTGGCCAGAGCAGAAAACATCAAAGTGAATCCTTGTATTACAAAAAAGTTTGGTTGGGAGAATTGACCCCTAAAGTTCTTCCAGCATGTATGACTCTCAGACCTCAATCACTGTTGTGCAAAAATATAATGATTTTAAAAATAACATCTATATTTCAGACATTGAGCCCCAAGGGCTCAATGGTGGGGGACTGGTGGGAAAAAAACTAACCTCAGTCACTTCTTAGGGTCTTCTCCCCAAGACTGTCAACATCATACTGTCAGCATCTTATGTGGTGCCCGGGTGTTGGGGGGAATTGGAGTGAGCAGCAGTGATGAGAGGACAAGCACACAGTTATTAGTTATTAATCAGAGGTCTGTAATATAGATTAGTGCTGAGATGTTCCCTTTCCTGGCCTACGTAGTCCCTTCAAATCAAAGGTCCTTGGCTGCTGTCCCACTGCTCTTGGGGCTCAGGAATCTTTGCCAACTCTGCATACAGACCTGCCTGCCAAGAAACACCTCACAGCCATTGCTTTCTAGGGTCTTAATGCTTCCCTGCTAGAACTGCTGTGAAATGAAGTAAAAGATCCTTGATTCTATTCAAGAGCCTTATATTTTGTTTCCACTTTTCTCCCCCAGCTTGGAAGAATCCATTTCTAGTGTGAGGAAAAGCCTTCCCCCTTTCTATATTTTGAGGGTCCTCTCTGCCTGTGGAATTCCTTCCTCTATGAGCTTAGATATTTTGAATGACTGAACTCGCAAGCCCCTTCTGTCTTTTTTGCTGAGGTTCTCTTAACTCTTTCCTGCAAGGCCAGGAGAACAGAGCCCGGTACACACTTGGATGGAGGGAGAAGAAAGTGGAGAATATACTGAGAAAAACATTACTTAAAACCTCAGAATACTATCTTGTCACCTTATCCATTACAACCAATAAATTGCTTTTCTGTGAAGTTGTCTCAGTACCTAATGAACTCTGATTTGGAGTCCAGAAAGAACTGTGATATGTTGACTTAAATTTAAAAAAATCAGCGTAACCCTGTAAAAACAAGTCCTTAAAAGCCCCACAATGAAAAGTAGGGTCATGGTGCTGAAGAAAAGAATGCTCTTGTGAGAGTTTCAACTTCTCATTCTCACCAGAGAACAGTTTCATGGAAGCCTCCTTTGCTCGCCAACCTCAGCAGCTGGGTTGTTCTCTCTCTTTTGGCTCTCCTCAAGCTCCCCCTTCCTGTGGAGCCCTGCTGACAGTTCTGCAGCTCTAGGGAGCTACCAGCTCTCCTGAGCTAGCTGTTTGGTTGCGACCTGCAGCACAACTAAGGGCCATGTCAACAAAGGGCCACAGAATCACTCATTTTCAGATGGATTTGGTTTTTTCTAATTATCATTGATACTGATTACAAAGCAGTTGACTGGGCCACAGCAAAGTAAATCATTTTCAGACATAAGACCAGCAAAATGGCCAGACATGTTGTACTGGAAAGAATGTGGCTCAGAAACGGAGACGTGGGGAGGTTAAAGGGCTTGTCTATGTTCATACAGCAGCAAGTTCGTGAATGGAAGAAAGCGATCGAAAGCCACTTCTGTGGACTATGTTAAGTGCAGAGTTGTGATAACATTCAAATACACTGTGAAAGACTCAACAGCTGTTTAACTCTAATAAAACAGTAGCACTGATTGATAATACAGTGTCATATCATAATTGTCAGCACGGGCCTGACTGCCTTAGTTCCACCACATATAAACTGTGAAACCTGGGCCTTGTCATTTTTCTTCTCTGTGTCTCAGTTTCCTCATCTATACAATAGGGATAATAATAGTACCTACCTCATGGGGATGTTAGGAAGCTTGAATGAATTAATATATGTAAAGCACTTGGGATAGTGCTCAGCTCATAGTAGGTATTATATATTAGTTGTCATTATGAAATAACCATTACTTTGGGGAAATATCCCAGTGATATTTTCAGAGAAGATAAATGTGTATGTGAAGATTAAAGGACATCAAAACAAAGCCCGGTGGGACTTCCCTGGTGGTGCAGTGGTTGAGAATCTGCCTGCCAATGCAGGGGACATGGCTTCAATCCCTGGTCCGGGAAGATCCAACATGCTGTGGAGCAACTAAGCTCGTGCGCCACAACTACTTAGCCTGTGCTCTAGAGCCCATGAGCCACAACTACTGAGCCCGTGTGCCACAACTACTGAAGCCCACACGCCTAGAGCCTGTGCCCTGCAGCAAGAGAAGCCACCGCAGTGAGAAGCCCACGCACCACAACGAAGAGTTGCCCCCTCTCGCTGCAACTAGAGAAAGCCTGCGCACAGCAATGTAGACCCGACACAGCCAAAAATAAGTAAGTAAATAAATAAATAAATAAATAAATAAATTGAAACAAAAGAAAACAAAAACAAAGCCTGGTGGTTGCCAGAGGGGAGGGAGTTTGGGGGAGGAAAGAAAAAGGTGAGGGAGATTAAGAGGTACAGACTTCCAGTTGCAAAATAAATGTGTCACAGGTATGAAATGTACAGTGTGGGGAATATAGTCAATAATTATGGAATACCTTTGGATGGTGACATATTATAACTAGACTTATCCTGGTTATCAGTTTGAAATGTGTAGAAATATTGAATCACTATGTTGAGTAACAGGAACTAACAGTGTTAATTATACTCCAAAAAACAAACAAACAAATCCATAGAAAAAGAGATCAGATTTGTGGTTACCAGAGGCAGGGTGTGGAGGGAGGGGGAATCGGATGAAGCAAAAGGTACAAACTCCCAGTTATAAGTAATTACGAGGGATGTAATGTACAGCATGATAAAGATAATTAACATGGCTCTCTGTTATACATGAAAGTTGCTAAGAGATTAAATCCTAAGAGTTCTCATCACAAGGAAAAAATTTTCTCTATTTTTAAAATTTAGTATCTATGAGATGATGGATGTTTACTAAACTTATTATGATAGCCATTTCATGATGTATGTAAGTCACCTCATGGTCACAAGGTGGCTGCTCCACATCCATCCTCACAAGCATGCTCCAGGTCAGAAAAAGAAAAGGGGAATAGCGAGGGGAACCTCCTACTGCCTATTTCAAGCAAGCAAAATGTTGCCAGAACCTCCAGTAAACTTTTCCTTACATCTCATTCATCCAGACTGTCACATGGATACACTTAACTTTAAGCAACACTGGGAAACATTGGTTTTCAGCTGGAAACACTGCTATATTGGACAGGACTGGATTTCTTTAATAAGGAAGATGGGGAAAATGCATATTTAACCACCAGCAGGATGTGTTATATCTATCCTAATATCGCAAAATATACTAAAAAAAAAACCCCAAATAAAACATTATAAAAGCTTGAAAAATGAAATACATCTAACTGTACTGACATATAGGGACTTCCGCTGGTGTAAAGATGCCTAACACGCTGAAGAATGCAAGATAACATTTTATGCATAAAAAGCTACTATTAGGGGTGGTTCTGGGGAAAAAAATGTTTCAACTAAAAATACTGAACTTTTAGCATTTCCGCCAAACTAGTTTTTTTTCTTTTCTTTTTTGCCTTTTGTAAGGCAACAAAGTAAAACAAGCAGCTTCTGCTACCAAGACTGGACATTCTCCTTTTGGCAGCTCTCTTTGTACTTCTGATTTATGTGGTTTGTTTAATTAAAAATATGAAGAATTTTCCCTCTCAACTTCTTTCCCACATTCTGATTCCCAATATCTGGGCCCCAAGGGTTTCTCTATCTGCTTTTTCTAATCTCCCAGAGCAATCTAAAAGAGGCCACCTTAACTTCTTTGTCCTCTAATGCTAGCCTGCCATGTGAGAGTGAGGAAAAAGTCTATTGTTTCCGTTTCTGTTTTCTTCTCTGGCTACCTCGGGATCAGATATGAAAATTATCAATATACAGGCAAAGTGCTTGGTAAGTCATTGAAGATATGGGCAATGAAGCGTAAATTGTCCTAACGTTATAGCTGTACACATTCTTTTGGAAATCATCTCGGGGGGTTGTGGGGCTGAAGTCTACTGAAACGGCTTGCCTTTAGATTCAATAATAGGAATGAAAATTTCACAACATGGAGTGGAAACACCAGCAAGGTGGATGCTTCTCTTTCCCACTTGCAGGGCGTGTGCCCGAGGACCTGCTCTTCTTCTATGACCACCTCAGAAAGGTCATTGGGGTCATGGGAATGGAGCTTCTCTACTGCTACCACTGGTACATGGCCACACACTTCGTCCTCCAGGCCACCATCTAGACCCACCGCATCTGGAAGAAAAGGTCCTCCCACACTGGGTAACCGTCACCAATTGGAACGCAGCCAAGCAGGGGTGCCAGGCTGTATGGCTGGTGGACTCACAGCCACCAACTGATGCAAGGTTGTTGTGTTCTGTGACATCAATGAGAACAAGACTGAGAAGGGCTTCTACTGCTAGGGGACTCTCAGGAAAGGTCCAAGCCTGGGGTTCTTATCTTAGCACCCTTCGTCATCTGCGTGAAGCTGGACCTGCGGTGGGGGGAGGTGAGGGGGAGGAGCGATTGAGGACAACCTGACAACCTGAGGCCCCTGCATCAGCAGGAGGGTGGGGACTTCCTTTACTTCAGGGGACGGACCCACGGCAGCCACACCCAGGCAAGGATCCAGACACCACTCTGCGATGCATCTCACCTCCCTGCTGTCTGATCAGGAGTTTTTTGTAACTTCTAGGTGTGATGCACCCGTCCACAACCTTCACCTTCTGAAGTGCTCTGGCTTCCTGGAACCGAACTGGTGGGTACGACGGTGGCAATCTTGTGTGACAAGCATGGTGGTAGATGTCGGGGGCTGACCCTGGACACAAGCTGCCTGGTCGTCTTGGACCTCACACCCAGGCTGCGTGACCCCAGCCAGTCTCCACTAGTTTTACTCATTTAAAATGGAAAATTGCCTGTTTATTTCAGGAGGGAGGCATGTTTTCAAACTTGAATGAAATAAAAGTTAATCTATAAAGTTTAAAAAAAACTAATGTAGTTTAGTAAAACTGGCTTCTCAACCTTTAAAAATGTATTTCGTGAAACTTTTCACCCATTGAAACCCAGCAATCTCCATTTTATGTTTCCTAAAAGAACAGCACTATGAATGTTTTCATAGGTTGTCAAACAAATAGGAGACCAGTTTATGGCAGCATTCAGAAACCAGGGCAAGCCAAGCAGTGAAATCACATCCTGTGTCATTTGGGATGCTGGTATACCTGACTTGTTAAACCAAGCTGCACAACTGTTCTCGTAAGCTCCTTACTGACTTTTGAGTAACCATCTTCCTTCTTACTCCATGTTGCTTTCTGACATGTTTGAATAATTATCGTTTTCAGACATTTGGACAAAGGAGAAAATGCCTTGGCTCCACTATCAGGTCCCTTCATAGCACTGAACATGTGATCACTCTAGAGTCTTGTTTCTCCTTTTCTCCCTGAGGACATAGGTATTGCAAAGAGAATTGGCTCAAGCTAACTGGTTGCTAATGTGATATGATTAGCAAGACAGGTTGGGTATGATGTTGTGGCTGTGTGGCCACAGAATTTTGATTTATTCCACAGGCTCTTTTGCTATTTTATTACTTTCCCCACTCAGGTCCCTTTTTTTTAACTTGTGAGAAAAAAATGTTACAGTTAGGTTATGGCTATATGGCACTACTACATTAGCCATTTTCTATTCAATTTTAATTTTTGGCTGTCATAAAGTCTAAGCTTTAAAGCACTGATATGAATCATTCCGAGTTGTTTTGCTCCTTAAGACAATATAATAGGCAGGCCTGAAAGTTCCCAGTCTGGTTATGAATGTAATTCAACCAGCCAGGCAGTGATCCAGTCCGTTGCTCAGCCATCGAACCCCAACAAAAAGGTAGTTTCGCCAGTTACAGCAATCTTGTCTAAAGGTTTATAATTTGACTAATAATGCTCTTTTAACAGACTAGTTTTCCAGAGTGCATCTAGAAAGTGTGTCCGGAAAATGGAGATGCTATGGAAAATAGAGAAGTAAAAGTAGGGAAGAGGGGGATCATCTTTAGATGTGTTCACCATGTTTCCCTCCAGTTCTGTTTTTAGCATTTGACTACACAGTCTGTTCAAAGTCCAGATAATTTTTGCTTCCCACAGATCATCATTCTTTCCATTCGTCCCCAAACCATTCATCATCATCTCCAAAGTACATTCTGACTTATGCCGCACTTTGAAAGGATACACCCAAGGTTGGACATGAAATATTATCAGACACTAGGACTACAAAAATTAAATGTTTAGCTTTGTTCATGCATGCTCCCCAAGTTTGGTATGTACATTCATGCTTCTGCCACATGCCATCCTATACCTTTTGTATAAAATACCCCTTGATTCCCTCGCACAACTGGTTAATTCTTCAAGGTCCTTTACAAGTCAAATCAAGTGTCACCTCTTCTAGAATGTCTTCCTTTACCTCTCCCCATAGGTAATCAATGATTCAATAACAACTTCCATCTTTCAGTACTTCCTATAGACAGAAAATATACTTTTTTGAAGTCTTTATCCTTCATGACTATCCCTAAGTCATTATTTAACTCTCACAACTATATTATGGGGTGGATATTACCCAATCAATGGAAGAGGAAACTGCAGCGTAAAGAGGTGAAGTGACATTCTTATGGCTACACAGCTAGTACATGGTAGAGGCAAGATTTGAACCCCAGTTCTGTGGTCTATATTCTAAGCCACTCTAGCATTGTTTCCCAAAGACTGACACATAAACCACTGCTGAGAGATGATTTGAGATAGAAAATGATATAAAGATATTCTGCGCTATTTATTCATTTTTTGTAAAACATACAGAGAATAAGAAAACAAGTCAATTCTCAGCATTTTGCCAAATCTGCTTCATATTTTTATTTTGAAGGAATAAAACATTATATATGTACAGTTGAAGCCCACCTTATTGCCCTCCCAGATCTCATTCTTCAACCCTTCTCAGAGGTAACCACCATCCTAAATTTAGTGGTTACCATACCTTTGCAAGTTTTTTAACAACTACTGGTAAGAAGACATTTATCAATAAATATGTAGTGTTGTTTGGCTTGTGTTCAAACTTTATATAAATAGCACACCATATGTATTATTTTGCAGCTTGTTTTGTTCACTCAACATTGTTCTTGATATTTTTTTTTGATACACATGGTTTTTGTTCCTGCATTTTAAATACTGTAGACCAACCCATTATATCAATATGTCAGATTTATTTATACATGCTCCTCTTGACTGACGTATAAATTACTTCCACTGTTTGATATTACAAATAATGCTGCACTTAGCGTTCATGTGCACGTCTCGTTGTGTACATGTACTGGATTTTCTCTAGGATACAAACCAAAAAGCAGAATTTCTAGGGCATAGTATAGGTATCTTCAACTTTAAAAAATATTACAAAGTTGCTCTCCAAAATGTATCAATTTATACATCCATCAGCAGTTTATGAGTTCCCTTTTCTCAAAATCATCAACAGACTTCTTAGTTTTTGCCAACCTTGCAAGTGGGAAATTTTATTTCATAGGGTTTTTTAAATTTGCATTGCCTGACGTTAGTAAGATTGAAGACCTTTTCATAGATTTATTGGCCATTTGGATTTCTTCATTTGTGACTTGCCCATTTTCCCTTTTAGAAATTATTTTTAAAACTTCTGTCTAGGAAAATTCATTCTCATTGATGTGCAGTTCAATCAGTTTTGACAAATGCATGGAGTTGCATAATCAACATCAAAAAAGAAGATATGGGACATGATCTCCCTTTGTAGTCAATCCCCCTCTGTATCCAAGATAACTTATTTTCCATACCAATAGTTTTGTCTTATCCAGAATGTCATATAAATGGAATTATACCGTATGTAGATCTTTGATGTTTGGCTTCTTTCACTAAGCATGTGTTTAAGATTCATTCATGTTGTAACTTTCTGTTGTTGAGTGGCATTCCATTATATGAATGTACTACAGTGTGTTTCTCCATTTACCAGTTGAAGGATTGTTTCTAAATTTGGGCAATTATGAATAAAGCTGCTATGAAAATTTTCCATGTAGGTTTTTGTGAGGCATCCTCACCAGCACTCGGCATTATTAGAGATTTTTTTGAGGTTGGCCGTTAGAATATAGAGGTACCTCATTGTGGTTTCAATTTGCATTCAACTAATTATTAATAATGTTGAGCACCTTTTCATGTGCATGTTTGTAATCCATACATCTTCTTTGGTGAAGCATCTGTTCAAATTTTGTCCATTTGACAAACTGGGTCATTTGTTTCCTTATTGTTGATAAAATAATACTGTTAATACAAGTCCATTATCAGAAATATGATTTGCAATATTTTCTTCCAGTCTGTGGTGAGCGCCCCTTTCCATCTCTGATCTTCCTATCAGTGCAGTAAATCACCTTCTCAGGTAAATTTTCCTCACACTGGGCAGGATCCAACTTTTTATGATTAAAACCAAAGGATGTCAACAAGTCAGAATTTTCTTTTTTGCTTAAAATTTCTCTGTTTTAATATTTTTAAGCTTTTTATTTTGGAATAATTATACTTTGACAGAGAGTTGCAAAGAAAATGTACAGGAGGTCCAGTGATTAACATCCTGAATAACTGTACTATAATGTCAAACCCAGAAACTGACAATGGTACAATCCACAGAGCTTATTCAGATTTCACCACTTTTCCATGCACTCATTTGTGTGTGTGTGTGTGTGTGTGTGTGTGTGTGTGTGTGTGTGTGTAGTCCTATGCAACTATATCCCACATGTGGATTTGCATGACTACCACCACAGTCAAGATACAGAACTGTTCCCAGAGCCCTCTCGTGGGATCTCTTTATACCCATATCTACCACTCCCTTAACTTCTATCCCTAACCCCTAGAAATCACTAATCTGGCCTCCATTTCTAATTTTGTGATCTCGATATTATTACTTAAATGTATTCACCTGGAGATTCATTCAGGTTGTTGTGGCTGTCGATAGTTCATTCCTTTTTACTGCTGAGTGTCATCTTGTGGCATGGATGCACCACAGTGTAACCATTCACCTGTTGAAGAACATCTAGACTGCTTCCAGTTTTTAGCTATTACGAAGAAAGCTGCTATGAATATTAATGCACAGGTTTTTGTGTGCACGTAAGCTTTCATTTCTCTGGAAAAAAGGACAGTGCAGTTGGGTTTCTTTTCTTATACATTAGTGTTAAAACTTAGCAAATATTTTTCTGAAATGCTTCACATAAGCAATTTTTCTCCTTTAGTCTATTAATATGGAGAATTACATCGATATATTTTCTGTTTTTAAACTACAGTAGAAAGGTAAGTTGCATCTATATTGTGTCATGAGTAAGGAATTTGTGCTTTATAAAATGATATGGAATAAAATATTTATAAAGAAAAGTAATACTTTTATGTAGACAAATCTGGCCAAAGAGCGTAGGATTGATTGAAGTGGGGAGAGAGAAAATAGATGATAGGGCCAGGTGAAAAAAATAATAATAATTTTATAATGAAATGATTGGGGGCATGAGAACTAGGAGATTCTTATTCTAATCCCATTTATGTCACTAGTTATATACACAACCTTCAGGAAGTCATTTACCTTTTCTTCACTTCAGTTACCTCATATGTAAGAGGGATTTGGCCTGCATCTGCAACATCATTATTGTTTTCAAACGTGCAACTCTATAATTCTAAACAATGAGAGAATGGTCAGGTTTTTCAGTGTGAAAGAAAAACAGAAGATGAATATGATCGGCGTCTTGAAGGTAAAAATCA